GTGTGACTGTGTTGGAAGTATGGTTTGACAACATCAAGCCACGCAATGCGACGTGCTACAAGCAGAGATTGGACATACATAGAGCTGATGCGGGTTGTCATTTGTCTGTTTTTTGTTCAGAGGAAAGCGCAAAACTAGTGGGCTGAGATGAGGACATGCATGCTCGAGGTTCTTTGCTCGGGGAGCTTAAACGGGCAAGCTTGCCAGCAGACCACGGTCGCTCATTTCAGCATTACCTGGCAGGTGGTTTGCGGCTGCTTGTCATTCACATGATGTGCGCGGTTGCGTTTGGCCACCAGCTTGAACTCTTTGCCAAGCGAACAACGCGGAAGGGGTCAACTTCAATCGCCAATGGAAGGCCAACTTAGAGGTGCGTATGCGGAATGTCGACTTCAGATTGCACCCAGCTTTTTGCCAGAGCCTTTCTATGCATCGCTTTTGCGTACGACACATGCCCCATCTTCATGGTTGTTGCCAAACTGTTTCATTTTTGCTTATTGTGGTTTAGTGGTTGAAATCCAAATCCACTTAACTGCTAAGATTTAAGCTTGTTGTCTCCCCTTCCAACGTCAAGCAAGCCATGTAAGAAGCACGAGGCCCGATTCACCTAGGGCTCGCGCTTTCAGCGGGGCCTCGCTGAGGGCTGATGAGCTTCCCAGCCTTCTTACCAGCCGCCCTGTCCAAGCAGCAGGTCCGGTATGGTTCGGCGGTTCGGCGGTGGACGCTCAGTGGCCCAGCGCTTGATTTCTATATTGGTTTGGATCTTTAGACACGAACTGTTCGGTTGCGTTCCAAAAACACTTTCTGACGCTGACGTGATACGCTATTGCCTACCCCCAGTGGCAGGTAGAAGGACAATGGCCATTGAAGGCTGACTTTTGTGCAGCATTGTGAGGCTTGCAGTGCAATGCAGTAGAAGCTGGCACGTGAGCCAGCTAGGGCCCCTTTAGCCTGTTTCCCATCCCAACATTGATAAGAATCACCTGGGCAACAGGGCTTCACTTCCCTCCACCAAGCACGGCCTCTTCCTAGGCTCAGCTTCCAGCACCTAAAAGAACTAAAATGGGATGGATATTTCTTGTTTTTTCCAGACCCCCTATTCAGCACCCAGAGAAAGGATGCCATTTGTGAGGCAGTTGTTGCTCGTGCGCCGTTAGCTTTCAGCAATCGACATCGGACTTGCAAACTGACGGATTTCTACTCCCACCAAGGGAGCTAGCAGCTTAGCAGGCACTCAGAAGCTAGAGTGCAGAGTGTTTTGAACAGCCTCAGATCATTGGACCAGCAGCACGCAACTAGGCTTCAAATGATGACAGCAGCATCAGCACTCATTTCAACAGCAGCAAGCAAACAGATGACAGCCGGATTCCAACCCTGCAAGTTGTGGCCAAGGGCAGCCGATGTTTTCCGTTTGCTTTTTTTTTGCATCGCCCGTCTCTTGCGCTCATGGGCCGCTTTGCGATGGGAGTCCATGGCACAGGCGGGAGATGGGCGCCAACGTTTCCAGCGGGGGTGCCAAAACCATTGCTTTTCTCTATTAGTGCCCTCCCACCAACTAAGATGGAAGTGCGCAAAGCCCGGGTTCCAGCGGGGGTGCCAAAACCATTGCTTCCAGGCAAACCTCTCTATTAGTGCCCTCCCACCAACTAACATGGAAGTGCGCAAAGCCCGGGTTCCAGCGGGGGTGCCAAAACCATTGCTTCCAGGCAAACCTCTCTATTAGTGCCCTCCCACCAACTAACATGGAAGTGCGCAAAGCCCGGGTTCCAGCGGGGGTGCCAAAACCATTGCTTCCAGGCAAACCTCTCTATTAGTGCCCTCCCACCAACTAACATGGAAGTGCGCAAAGCCCGGGTTCCAGCGGGGGTGCCAAAACCATTGCTTCCAGGCAACCTCTCTATTAGTGCCCTCCCACCAACTAACATGGAAGTGCGCAAAGCCCGGGTTCCAGCGGGGGTGCCAAAACCATTGCTTCCAGGCAACCCTCTCTATTAGTGCCCTCCCACCAACTAACATGGAAGTGCGCAAAGCCCGGGTTCCAGCGGGGGTGCCAAAACCATTGCTTCCAGGCATACCTCTCTATTAGTGCCCTCCCACCAACTAAGATGGAAGTGCGCAAAGCCCGGGTTCCAGCGGGGGTGCCAAAACCATTGCTTCCAGGCATACCTCTCTATTAGTGCCCTCCCACCAACTAACATGGAAGTGCGCAAAGCCCGGGTTCCAGCGGGGGTGCCAAAACCATTGCTTCCAGGCAAACCTCTCTATTAGTGCCCTCCCACCAACTAACATGGAAGTGCGCAAAGCCCGGGTTCCAGCGGGGGTGCCAAAACCATTGCTTCCAGGCAAACCTCTCTATTAGTGCCCTCCCACCAACCAAGATGGAAGTGCGCAAAGCCCGGGTTCCAGCGGGGGTGCCAAAACCATTGCTTCCAGGCAAACCTCTCTATTAGTGCCTTCCCACCAACTAAGATGGAAGTGCGCAAAGCCCGGGTTCCAGCGGGGGTGCCAAAACCATTGCTTCCAGGCAAACCTCTCTATTAGTGCCTCCCACCAACCAAGATGGAAGTGCGCAAAGCCCGGGTTCCAGCGGGGGTGCCAAAACCATTGCTTCCAGGCAAACCTCTCTATTAGTGCCCTCCCACCAACTAACATGGAAGTGCGCAAAGCCCGGGTTCCAGCGGGGGTGCCAAAACAATTGCTTCCAGGCAAACCTCTCTAGTAGCCGCTTTTCAAGAGGGAAGTAGTTTCGTTCTACAGGGGTCCCTGCACTTCCAGGTTAGTTGGTGGGAGGGTGCCCAGGGATGCCTACTTCAATAGGTTTTACATCATTCTAGGGGACACCTCCCCATTCTTTCCAAGGATCCGAATCTTTTCAGAAAACCAGCAGGATCCAAGGGGAAACAGATCCGATTTTTGAAAAGAACGATGTTGTTTTATTTTCCTGGTTACCTGCTATAGTGGCTTTCCTGGAAGCACTGGGTACATGCCATGTACAGATAGCTCCGGGCTGTGCGAGGCCCGCCTTCGAGATCAACCATGGGAGGCAGGATCGTGCAGGGGCCAATGCGCATGGTCCAGTTGTGGCTGCATTTGCTTTGCTTTTTGTTATTATGGGAAACTGCCAAAATTGCGGTTTTCCTGGCGGTTTGCCTGTCAAGAAATAAAAAAGAGGATACCCTCACGTGTCAACATGTCAAGCGATTTGATATGGAGGTTTTCAAGGCTATGTCATGTTGGGATAGACTAAGCACGAAAGATACATTTGAACACATTCTTCTCCTAGGTCCCCCAGTAGTGCCCTTTTGCGCTTTTTTGGTTGGGAGGGTTCCCCTACTAAAATAGACAAATAAATAAGAGAAAAAAAAGGACAAAATCAGGTACCAACTTATTCAAACCTCTCAAATCTGGAGGACCTAGTCTACAGACGTAGGGCTTGAGATGGCTTCAGTTGGGTTCTCATGAGGCCGGCGGAGCCCATCGATCCGTTTGAGTCAACGAAAATCCCAGGCAGTGCTGCAGCTGCTCGAGGATCAGGCTGGGTTTCTTTGGATCACTCAGCCTGGGGTGGACCTATTTTGACCGTTTCTAGGGGGTTATCAAAGTCAGAAAATGGGGGGTGGTTTCCCTTTAACCCATTAGGGGGTGACTTTGATCATGGTAGAAGAAGGATCGAGGGCAGTCGGCTGGGCATACCTGGAGTCTCCATGACCCTGTAAAATGGGGTCATGACCCCTTTGTTTTGGGTCAGGACCCAATTTTTAAAGGGTCATGGAGAGACTAGGTACTTGTTAGAAAGGTCCCACCCCCCAACGGCCCCAAGCTGCAAAGCCGACCTGAGGAACCAGAGGTTTTGAGAACCTTCCCGGGCGCCCGAATGTCTCAGCTCGTACTTGCACCATGGGCACGAGGAAGTCTTAGCCTCGTGAACTCCTTGTGGGTGAATCCCGAGCGAGTGGGTGTTCCGTTCCGACAGGTTTGCCCAATGCGGAAACCCAAGATTTAACGCAAGGCCTGATCGATTCATAATGGGTATTCTGGATTTTTGGGGAACCCGGAAGCCCCTTGTTTTAAATTCAGGTCGTTCTGTTTTGGCCTCTAAGCATATCAAGCTGGGATGTCAGGTTCATTTCGCTGGAGATGAATTTGCGGCAACCTCACTCTGAAGCAGGGTCCTTCTCACTCGGACAATTGCATGCTTCGAAGCGGAAACGTTTTGGCATGCTGAGGTCCCGAAGGAAGAAGCACCCACCACGGAGTCAGACTGCAAAGGACTTCCCTCCCAGAGATCTTTGGGTGCCCGGTCGTTTCCTCCGGGCTGGATTTGGGTTTGCCTTAAAATCCGGCCCCCCCCCCAAACAAAAACAACAACAAAAAACAACTTGTTTTTTGTTGTTGTTTTTTGTTGATTTTTTCCCTTTTCCTTTGAAAGCAACTCATGACCTTAGGAAACAAGTAGAGTCGTGGGCAATTTTTTACGGTGCATACCCCCTCCATGTTTCACGGTGGCCCCAGGAACCCTCCAAAACTTGGTCAGGGAATGACGTCGAGCTAAAAACCATCCCATGGTGGTTTCCCCTTTCTCCATGGGAATTCCGTCGGGTACATTCCCGTTTTTCTTTGTCCCTGCCTATCGCACCAGGGGCGCTGATTCCCGATTCTCGGTTTTTAGTTTGTTTTTTCTTCTTTTTTCTCGCTTCTGGAGCCCAAACCACCCCCATATTCATAAACTGGGGTTGAGGAATCTGGGGGTGGGTCAACACCAATGGGATCCCATTTTGGGGTAGGTGAATTCCCCACCCATTTTAGTTATTTTAGTGGGGATTGGGATGTTTACAGGGTGTATGATTTGGGTTTTGACCCATCACCATATTACCCAACGGGGTCCTGGAGGCGTCAGGTCTCCACCAACCGAGGCCAGAAATGTGCGGCTCTACGGCGGCGCGGTGGACGCCCTGGGACGGCAGCGGCGCTGGCAGCTGGCGCTCAGCCTGCTCTGGCGCATGGAAGAGGAATGGGGCGTGGCCAACGGGGTGGGGCTGGCTGAGTTTGAAGGAGATCCCTTCCCCAAGAAAAATAAAAAAAAGGGGGCGCCACTGGGGAAAGCTCCAGTGCTGCCTCCCCATTCTTTCCAGGGATCCGGATCCGAATCTTTCTAGCGGGGCAAAAGCAGGCCTGCTCATGAGTCTGTTAGGGGAACCCTGTGCTCCAAACCTCAGGTGACTCGTTGCAGCTTGAGCGCGGGGCATAGCTCCTTCGTTTGTTCTAAGGGTTGTTGTATTACACCCTGGGGTTACGCGCTTGGGGAATGACCCAAAATGGTCCAACACACCATTCGATTTTATCCCGGACATATGCCTAAATGGGGTCATTTCCCGGCGGGCGCAATCCCAGGGTGTAATACAACAACCCTTAGATTCAAGGATTGTCCCCAGAAATGGCCGAGGGATGCTTCAGCTTTGCAAGCTGCTTAAAAGTCGCACCTACTCCAAAACCTCATGCATGCGACTCTTTTGAGCGCTTTGTTCATGTTGAGCGCGTGGCATAGCTCCTTCGTCCTTTGCCAGATGAGTATGTGAGCGACCCAACATAAGCCATGGCAAGCGAGATTAGCTTCAGTGCTCCCTTCTGACCAACTAACAATGCAACGTGTTGAAAACACAAGGTGTGCACCACAACTGCTGAAACTAAACTTCCGCACATACCACACGTGCTTGCATCCAGCCAGGAGTCCCTACGAGCGAACGTGATCCTGCACAACGCGGCGCTGAACTCCGTGCCGCGCGGCTCCTGGGCACTTCCCATGGCGCTGGTGCAGCGTATGGAGGGGCGAAAACTTCGTTTGACGGCCCCCTTTAGGGCGAAGCCCAGGGAAACCCATCACGTAGAACCTATAGAGGTAGGGATCCCTGGCTAGAAAGTGGCGACACGTGGAATACCTCGCATTTCCCAGTGGATCCATTTAGCTGTATAGTAAGTAGCCAAGGGAAAACTTGCCGGCCTTTAAAAACCCAAAGGAGAATTGCTGGCTGCCTACTATAAGGGTTTCCCTGAGATCCACTGGGCTTCACCGGTGACGGCGATGGCTGAGCGCGTTGAGCTGACTCCAGGAGAACGCCGATTTGCCGCCCGACCTTATCACGTGGAACACGTGGCCTGGCCAGACGTCAGTGGAGCTTAAACCTGAAGTGGGATGGGACATTGCCTATCTTGTTTTAGAACCAGACCACCTGTTTAGCCTGTGTCTCAAAGTCAGCACAAACAAAGAGATGTGGCATGCCAAAGAGATGTTCATGCATGCGCCGCTTTTGACATGAAGTCGAGGCGGTGGTTTGTGCGGTCCAAGCTTTTTTTTTTTTTTGCGTAGCAGACGGTCTCATGCAACGTCCTTCTCGGTCGTTGAGATTTTCGTGTATGGCTGGATACACTGGATCCCTTCAAAGAAAACATGTTGTGCCAATCAAGCCGCATTTTGGCAACTTGAAATCCGCTCATGGTCAAGCCCAACAGTTCCAACTTGTCCACGGCTTATTCTAAAAGTCCATTTGTTGTGGCTCTCCGGTGGTCAATCCAAGTACTCACTAAGTTCCCCAGAGTTGCAGGGACCATATGGGGCCGAGTTAAAATCAAGGGACCCTTGAAAAAAACGTTTTTCCAGTTGGTTTTAAATTTGACTGACCTTGCAACGGGTGCTTTCCGGAAAGCGCACACACACACACAGCAACGCAGATACATTTTCACGCAAACACACAACACCACACAAACACCAACACACACAAATACACAAATACACAAATACACGCATACACACATACACACATACACACATACACACATACACACACACATACACACACATGCACACATACACACACACACACACACATACACACACATACACACACACATACACACACATACACAAACATACACACACACACACATACACACACACATACACACACACACACACACACACACACACACACACACACACACACACACACACACACACACACACACACACACACACACACACACACACACACACACACACACACACACACACACACACACACACACACACACACACACACACACACACACACACACACACACACACACACACACACACACACACACACACACACACACATACACATACACACACACACACACATACACACGCACGCATACACACACACACACACACACACACATACATACATACATACATACATGCATGCATGCATGCATGCATGCATGCATGCATACATACATACATACATACACACACACACATCAGACTCACACACCTGTAGGCATCCTTTTTCTTTCGAACTGTTGGGCCGTCCGACACAGGCTCGGCTCGAAGAGCATTTGGGCGCATGCGCTGATGGCTTTGGCAGCTGCGAGGCACACGCTGGCTCGCGTTGTTTTGTAAAATAAGCTCTACGTATTATGTAAAAAATGACATACTTGAATGGATATGGATCCACATATTTGTGTATATGCTGGACAAATGGAATGGGGGTAGCACCCACGGCTGCCCTCAACCAACAGTCCTTAAAGCCTCACAGTCCAACATGGTTTGCTCTTAAAATGGGGACCCCACAAATGGTTGCTGCACCTTGGCGGTTGTTGTTTCATCCGCTGAAATGGGGCGGCCCTCAAATTAAGATATTGACAACACAAACACGCACAAACACACACACACACACATACACACACACACACACACCTACGCACAAACCTGCAGCATGGTCAGAACCCCAGGCCACAGGCCACTTGGCTTGGCCCGGTCATGGACCCACCAATTATGGGCCGCTGTTGGTGAGGCTCCTCTAGCCAACCAGGCGCGAAGAAACTGGCAACCTTGGCAAGGCCAGTCATGGAGCCATACCCCGCCCCAAGAATTGCTTTCTCCCATGTCCCAAATATCAAGTTGGGTGCTGGAAGGATCTGGATCAGTTTTTGAGGTTAGTACCTGCGGCCCCCTTGGTAGAATTTCCACACCGTCTAGAAGAAACATGTTTGTTTCCACGTGTTCCACATTTTTGCCCAAAAACATGTTCTTCCCAAACAGTGTGGAAATTATCACTCTGAGGGGGCCACAGGCAAGGGAGCCAACCCAGTGCTCGAAAAAGAGGCGGGGCGGCTTGCAGCCCAGCCTCGTCAGCTTCGCAGCGAAAGGGCCTTGGCGAGCCGCTGCGGCTTTGTGCCAGGCCATGTGCCTTGGCGCTTGAGCATAGGTGTCCTTTTGGTTAGTTTGCTTTCGCAAAATAGAAGGCGATTCCTGGTTTACCTGGTGGTTCAATCATCTACCAGGGCCATCTATTTTCCAAAAAGGACTCCTATGCGCTTGAATGGGGTGGGGCAAGAGGTACTGTGGATGGACGAAATCTATTTCGCACCACCGTTCAGAAATTTATGGTTTCGGATGATTGGCCTGTACATAATCAACAAACAATGGCTTTCCTTGGTTTCGAAGTGGTGCAGGATTTCGTCCATCCACAGTAGGACAGGTGAAGTGCCAAGGTAAATGGCCTTCCAAGGGGTTTGCAGATACTGTCTCGTGCTTTGCTTGCTTTTGCAGCTGCGGCTTCGTCAAGATGGGGTTGAACTTGAGGCACTTGAGTCTAGCTGAAAGCATTGCATGTGATTTCGCGCTGTCAAACTCCATATGCAATTTGCTTTCAATGACTCATGGTAAAGCGTGAATGCACAACTCAAGATGAATACATATATATATATATATATATACATATATATATATATATGTGCGCGAATGTGATTGGATCAGCAGTTTTAAAAAGTACAGAATTGTCTAGGGGAGGTTCGGGGGGCTGGGCAGTGTCCGGGGAAGAAAGCAAGCCTACATACTGATCTACTGATCTAGCCATGTATGCCGCACCATTGAATCATGTTTGCAGGGCATGGGATTGTATATGGTTCATCCACGTTTTGGACTGCCACCTTGTTGACGTCCCCGTCAGCCTTTACCATGATGCAAGCTGTCAGCAGCTGAATTGAGAAATAAGATGTGAAGGACCGCAAAGTCAATCAAGTCAAGTCCTGAATTGAATCTCCACCCATTCAGTGATGGAACTGAGTCGGTATTTGCATTTGCGCTGAGGCGCCAGAGCGGTTTGCAGGGCAACCGCATTAGCAGCAATGGGCTGCTGGGCATTTGCGTCCCTCGGCAGTATCCCAGCATTGTCCTTGGATGTCATGGGGTTTGTCGCAGGCCTTGGCACGAGCAGCATTGTCAACATGAGGTTTCTCTTACAAAAAGAGGGGAAAAAGAAACGACCACATGGCAGGTTTCCGAAAAGGAGACCCCACAAGCCCCTTCTCGACAAGAAACCTTGGCTCCGTTTTGGGACCCAGGGTTTTGGACATGGACCAACTGCTTCCCATTGCGTCGCTTGCGTCGCCACGCATCCGCAGCACAATGAGCAGAAACTGCTCTTCTTGAAGGCAACGCAGCTGAAACCGCCAACCTTTGTCAAGGTACAAGTGCCTTGACAAGTCCACCAGGCTCTTAACTCTTAACAGGCGCCTCGTTCGTTGAGATGCGAAATGCTCATTTCTACTTGCCCTCCTGTTTGCAACAGGCCGGCGCAGCAGCCAAAGTCTGTGCTCAAGCAGGTTTCCAAGGTGCCCAGACTTTCTGAGCTTTCTACTTGTTCGGTCCTCCATGCCAAGTTGTGCAGTGAAGTGGTAATTGCTACCCAAGAAGAGTTGAGATTGTTGTTGAGAAACATGTTACATTTTTGCTTGTTGTGGTTTAGTGGGAAATCCAACCACTTAACTGCTAAAAAACAAGTATTTGCTCCCCTTCCAACGTGAACCAAGCTTAAGTGTGGGGAGTCATGCAGCAGTTTCGAGGGCAAGTTTCCGGTCGATTTGAGGCTAGCGAGGGGCAGTGGAGATTCTGCCTGGAGATTCTCAGGTGGGAATCCGTGCAGGTTACTGTGTCCTTCTGGCCGAAAGTGCCATATTGATTTCACTGCGCTGGGCAAGTTTGTAGTTTCTTTTGTCTTTTTGGTTCTTTTCTCATTTTAGTAGTCGGCTGCAAAACGCAGAAAGTTGTTTGCCGACAAGGGTTGTGAAGTTGATGAATACGATCTTTGGCGCATGGTGCTTGGATGTTAGGACTTCAACTTTTTGCCAACTACCTGGTTTTCCGTATTAAACCCACCAAAAGTTAGCCGCTTTTAGCAGGGGCGCAGAGTTCGCACCCGAGTGATCTTTGGGTGTTTTCTGTGTCGGCCTGATCCCACAAGGCCTAAGCCACAGGAAGCCACCTGAGCTGGGGTTTTGTGGAAGGACTCCCTTTTTTGTTTTTGGTTTTTGGGACTCGAAGGTTTTGTTGGGGGAATGTTGTAATGGAGGGGTGCTTTTTTTCTTGATCTCGAAGGTTTTTTTTTTGGAGGGGATTCTTTTTTAATGGAGGGGCGCACTCCATTTCGCAGTACGAAATGCAACTCATGGTTGAAATGGTTGGTCGGTATTTGCCAGGGACGCATCGTTCCAGGGTTTCTGAGCGGTGGTGACATATTGATTGCTGCCGTCCATCCACATGCAAAGCCCAAATCGATCCCAGGCCCCAACGAAAAGCAAAACAACGGCACAACCCAAAAGAACGGCCCCCAAACAAGACACGCCGGCACACACACGTAAAGAAAGCCACGCAAACTAATTACCCGAACAGAGAAGACGCGGGCAACAAAAAAGCCAAACGGCACCACAAAACACAAAAAAACATCCCCCCCCGCCAACAAACAAGAGAAAAACAAGAAATACCCAAACTGCTGAAAACAGGGCACAACCAGGGCAGAAACAAAAAGCGCGTTTCACCCGTCAGTGGCCTGGAGCCGGACACCTTGAGCTTCAGCTCCTGCGCCAGCGCCTCCGCACCTCGGAGTGGGGAAAGCCAGCGGAGTTGGGCGAGTTGGTCCTGGTTGCCCCACAAAATTCGGGTACTCCTCGAATTTTGGGCGATTCTTGAGAAAGGAATTTTGGACTTGAACAACTTTTAGGTTGAAACTTTGAAGAATTTTGTTTGGGTGGGTTGATGTCATGGGTGTCCTTTCCTAGGTTCCCCAGCTAGGTGCCTTTCTCTCCCCTTTTTGGGGTTTTTGGGTTCCCTACTAAAAGAGACTACACAAAAAAAGGGTACTTTCCCCCTTTTTTGGTTGGGAGGGTTCCCTGCTAAAATGGACTACCGAGAAAAGTTGGTACCCTTGTTCTAACCTCTCTACTGGAGGGCGTAGTTTCCCTACCAAGAAGACGTGTCTTTCCAGAGGAGCGTATTCAGGCAGGCCAAAAAAAAAAGAGGCAAACTGTGTGGTTGAAAAAATAGGGTACCCCTCGCATTCTTGGCGATAATTTGAGAAGGCACTTTTGGACTTGAACAACCTTTAGGTTGAAACTCTAGATTTTCCGGGTCTTTCCAGAGGAGTGTTAATGAAGCAGGCAAACCAAAGGCGAGCTTTTACTGGGTGCCTAATCTTGGCGATATTTGAGACGGGAATTTGGGGCTTCTCCACGCAGCTCGTTGCTCAGATGCTCCACTCCGTTTCCAGGTGCCCCAGCGGCAACGCTGAATCGCGGTGTTCCGGCGCTTTTTTTTTGAGAGGAATCCGTCGAAGTGTTTGTTTCCATGGACGAGAGGGTGGGTAGTTTGCAGGGTGCAGGGTGCATTGGTTGAGGCTGCGACTGCGTGGTGATTTATTGCGTTCTTTGGATTTGTTGCTTGCCTTGCACGCATTTGCTGTTACGTAGAGCTGCCGTTGCGCCAGCGAAATTCCGAACGTCAACATCAGCAGGCAACTTAGGGAGTTGTCAAAAGCAACAAAACGGGGCAATCATTTTGACAACACCCGGAATCACAGCATGGTGCCCCGGAACATTGCAAGTCTTGGTTTCCATCCAAAACTGGAGGCAGGATACTTTGAGGCAATAGGAACCCCCATGTGCTGTCGCCTGAGTCGAAATCAACATCATTGGTCAGGCAACTGAAATCGGCATTGACCTGCAGGGCTTCCGTTGATTTCTCACAAAAAGGTGGTTTACTTGAGAAGGTCGCGCGCCAGGGAACTGCAACTCTTCGGCGCAGTCAATTGTCCGATTCCGCTGGGTCTCTCAAGTGCCAATGGCTAGCAAGTGCTAGGCATTTACTCAAACAGAAACCACGACAAGGTGAGCATTTGTGCTACTGGTAAGTGTTTTATTTGGGTGGCTCCCTCTTTGTGCCTGACGTGTGCCTCATGGGGCAGACGTGGGGACAGAAGGATGCTTTGACTTTCTGCCGAGTTTGCCCCACTCAGGAGAAGGGTCATCAATGGATGCCTGCCCTTCGACTGGTGCAAAGTTCTGTGCAGCAGGCGGGGGCGAGGGGGCAGTGGCCGCTTTTCTTGTTGCAGTTCCCACCCCGTCAAAAATGGAATTGGGGGAGGTGGGTGACCCCTTAAATTTCATTTATGGTTCCATTTTCCTTTTTGTGGGCAAGCCAAGATAAATGGAATTGTGGGACCCCAGGGGAATGTTGCACCGGTGGACTCTTGTCAACATTGCGCGCCATTTGTTTGTCCAACTTAGCAAGTTCTTCGAAGCAAGCGGGCCATCCAGGTATCAACGCCAATGTCCACGAGCATGGCTGATGAGGGTTCCCGCTCCAGACTCCCCCCACACCTCCAGGAGACAATCAATATGAAGTGTCATTCGCTGTTGGAAATTGCAATGGTGCGCAGGCATGTGGTGTCTCACAACAAGGGAACCTCCAAAACAAATCAACATGGGTATAACTCCCCTTGGCCGTTGAACGCAGCCGAACCAAAAGGGTGCCCTCATTGTTGGACTCAACTGCCCTTTTTGCCCGTTTGGGTCTCCTTCACCTAGCCAGCAGAGGGCCCAAGTTTCGCCAAGAGACGGACGCATGGGGCGTGCATTGAGGCCACTTTCAAGATTACTAGCTGATTTTTACATGTTTGGTTGTTGCAAACCAGGAGGTTGTTGGATGTGGGTGTGTCTTTGTTTCAGGAGCCCCACCCACCTCCCCCCCAAAGAAAAAACAGAACAAGTGTGTTCTTGTCTTAGGGTTTTCCTTTTCAACCAAGAAAAAGGAGGGCCTCCCAAAACAAAAACACACCCACCTATGTCCTTTAAGGAGCCTCGGCAAACTCCTGCGACGCTGCGCCAGGGCTGTGCGGCGGACATGGTTCTTCACAGCGCTGCACTCAGTTCCTGCGAGAAGTGCCACAGGCGACTCCGCGGGTTCCGTTGGTTCGCTGGGTAATCTAGGTCCCCCAGTAGTGCCTTTTTGCCCTTTTTGGGGGGAGAGTTCCCCGGCTAAAATAGACTACAGCAAAAAGGGTATCCTTATTCTAACCTCTCTACTGGAGGATCTAGTAATGTTCACCCCATACCAATCAACCCTTCCATTTGCTGAATAATATTTGATAGTTTTCCCTCTTGGTTGTAAAGGGAATCTATCACTACTGGACATTTTTTTGTTTTAGGGGACTTAAGCAAATGGAAGAACCCCAGTTTATTGATGGGGGGTCCGATTCTGGCTTTAGTGGGGCATCAGGCCACTATTGGAGGGGAACACTCCCTATTAATAAACTGGGGTTGATGAATATGGGGTCAACAGATCAACATTTGCTTCAGTGTGTTTATTCTAGAAAACGGTTTGGATGTGAGGAATCTATGGATCCACCACTCTCTAGGATATCAAAAGAGTACTAAAAAGAGCCAGGGGGAAGAAAAGGCGAAATCCACAAAAAGCCCAAGCGGCCTTCCGAGCAGCGATGGAGGGAGAAAGCGAGTGAGAGACAGAGAGAGCAAGAGAACCCCAAACGGATACTCCCAAAACATACACCCATGTGGAATGCGGGGGGCAGGCTGGCTAGGAGGTAGGCCTGGCATGCATTCATGTTTCCTGCAAAGAAGCGAATACAGGCGATGGATGACGCATACCAAGAACATGTTCCCAATTTGTGCGCAAAAAGCCGCGAGAAGTTGTCATGCAGCTTGCAAAAGGTGTTGATGTTGACCACTTTTTGGTGCTTGCATGTGGTAAGTGGTCCCTTGATATTGCCGCCGCTGTTCTTTTGCCTCCTCAATTCAGGTAAACAACTCTTAGTCGGTGGCTTGGGTGGGTTGGGGATTTGAAGCCCTGGTTCTTGTAGAGGCTAGTCTCCCCGTAGCCACCAAACCCGGCTCCAAACCACCAGCTAGGAACAACATCCACTACAGCTCGCTCGCTGACGTCAATTTTTCACGTCAGGTGGCGGCTTGCTATGTCTCTGCTGGATCGGAACTGCCTGGAGTACCATGGCTCAGCAAGAAGTCATGTGGCAGCCGCAAGGAAACTCAACAACTGTGGGGTGCCCGGTCCGATTCCTATTAAGACACCTCCCATGTTCCTCTTTGACCTGGGCTTGGGTTGCTTGAGCCATGAATGGCGCGGTTCGGTTCACTCCCCACAGGTTTGCATGGAGCTTTGAGATGTTTGAGTTCACGGTTGCAAGTGGATGATGGGGTTTGCTGCGTTCCGCCAATCGCAAGTGCTGACCTGCGCCCGGAAAATCATGCTTGCACTTATCTTTGGTGCATTTTGCTTGGATGTTAGGATGTTAACTTTTCGCAAAAAAATAATAATGTTTCCATTAAACCACTAAAAGTTAGTCACTTTTACCAGGGGAGCAGAAAGCAACCGAGTTATGCAACCTGACCTGTTTGACACCAGAGTGCTTGACCTCCCAGGTTGCCCCAGGACGTCGACCTTATTGCATTCAATGCTGCCGCTTTGGCTCGCAAGCAAGTGGCCTTTACTACTCTCGGTGTGTATCTTGCACAAGCATGTGAACATGCTGCAATGCTGTTCAGAACCAGTGTTGTTTTCTGTTTTGTTGTTGTTTTGTCAGGTTTGGGCGGTTCTGGGCATACGTCCTTGGGTGAGGTGGCTTATAAACAGAATGCACTATGAATGGAATGCCCATTGAAAATTCGACCAGGGTTCGGAGGCACATCGTACAGACATTTGATGAGGGTGTTGGCAAATTTGCGATACGCGCACTTTCAAGATGAACATCTCCTGCACATATTCGAAAAGGTGTCCTTTGCTAAAAGCTGGAGTCGAAACTTTGGAAGACTTCTTGTGAATTTAGAAGCATAAGTTATGGATGCAACATGCTACAATTTGGGAGAACTAGAAAATGGGGGTGAAAGTGACCCGACAGTGCCGTAAATACCTGCAATTGTCCTTCTGATTGTGGCAAAACGCAGGCAATTCCCTTCTAGCAGCAAAGCTTTGAATCAACTTAGGCTTCCGAATTCGGAACCGCCCCGTATGCCCAGAACTCTCCTTGGAACCGCCCCTGTGGATGCGTGCATCCCTGGAACCCTCCCGGAACCGCCCCATCCCCAGAACCCGTGGAACCCTACCCCGGAGCCGCCCGGGAACCCAGAGCCTATTTGGGCAATGGACACAGATGGAGCCGAGCCTTTCTCCTGCGGCGGGCGTTTTTTAGTATTATTTGTACATTTTTTCCGTTTTCAGATCAAAAGAGGCATAGGAGTGTGACAGAGAAACCGCCAGAGGGTCTTTTGGAAGGCAATTGGAAGGCCAACTTTAGCCTGACCAGTCTTGGAAAACGGGATGTGTTTGTTTGTGTTGTTTTGTTTTACGTGTGTTTCTTCATATATGGGAGTCGTTCTAAAGGCCCTTGTAAGGAGTTTAGTATTCGGTGACCATCGGTGTTGGTTGAGGTAGCTCCGCGAAAGATTCGCGATGGAGTTGCGAAAGTATTTTTTTTCTCGCGAAAGTTTCGCGTAACTGTGTCTTGTAAATCAATGATATGTGAAACCATTCATCTTTGCTGCTGAGCCTTCCTTCTGCGCTGATTACAACACTTTGTTGTTTTTGCGCCGAAAAAGCCTGGTGAGGCTACAGGCACCCTTCTTGGCTGGTTAGTGCCCCAAGCCTGTGTATGTGTGCCTGTGGGTTTACTCGGCGCCTTTCCGCTCTGAAACGTGGGTGGTTTTTCGCGAAAGTTCCGTGAAAGATCCGCGAAAGCCCCCGCGAAAGCGGCTTCGATTGTAAGGGGGTACTTTCTGAGCGCCGCGCTTGTCAGTATACCAGCTTGGTACTGGAAAGTTGCGCCTTTAAGCTGGAGCTGCACGGCTTACGAAAAGCTGCGTCTTTCCAGCCCGTGCATGTCATGTACTACCCAGTGATGAAAGTTGCGACTTTACAGCGGGAGTTGGGGAATCGAATTTCGCGCACTACGCTGGCACTTAAAATCAGCGATTTTCTGACTTGAGCAAGGAAAAGGGCACAGCGATGAATCCGCGAAAGATTCGCGAAAGTAACTTTTTTATTCGCGAAGAATGGCCGTTCCGAGACAAAGGAATTTAGAACAACCACCATATATATATATATATATATATATATTTGGGGGGTTGTACCTTATATATATATATACATATGTATACACAGATGTGTGATGTATGTATGAGTGTTTCGTGGCAGACACACACATGCTATGTGTGTGTGTTTGTGTTGTGCTGGCAGGCCAATGGTTTGAAAGTATCCGCTAGCATGTTATGGCTTTGTGCATGTGTGTCATCATCGCAGCCTGTTTGGGTCAGGGACTGTCAACAACACCTCGGTGTTGTATTTAATTGGTTTTGAGACCATGCATGCCCGGTATTCCTCTTGATGAGTAACAACAGCTACACGATGAAATGCAGGTCTGCAAGTGACAGCCAAGTGATCAGGCAACACTTACTTGAACATTGGACTCTGGGCAACGCTGGAAGAAGCACTGATGGAGCACTGGACACTTTGACACTTGCGGTATGGGTCAGAATTAAACCACCAGGGGACCGCATATGCCAGGGCTTCATTCCGGGTACCTATTTTGACCCACGCCCACTTTCACACCGGGAAACACTGGAACAATCAGTGGAGTGCGAGGGAAGCGGCGCTCTCAGGTGATCAGCGCTTGTGCAAAGGATGGCCAGTGGCAGTGGGCTTTGCACGTACTGCGTCGGATCCGTGGGCGACTGCGCGCAAACGTGACTTGCGCACAAGTGCCACCACGAATGTCAGGGCTCTCTCATTGATCCTTTTTGCTTGGACCTGCCAAAGTAGTAGTGTCAGAGGAACCCACCAGTAAATTCCGTCGTTTGAAGGGGGTAACATCCTTCAACTGCTAAAACACCTGCACATCTAATCCAAGCAAATACCCATGAGAGGCAGGTGTCAAGCAGCTTGTTTTGCGAGAGCCATGTGCTCTCTGAGGAGCACTGGAAATCTCCTTTGGTGTCGGCTGTCAACGCCAGTTGTGGCTGGAGTGAGCAATTGCAAGCAGTTACAAGAAGCACATGCTCAAGCGGAGGAGAGAATGACTTACGCGAGTTTGTAGTAGAGTAGAGTCAAGCCTCTCTCAAACATGCCGCTTCGATCTTAGGTAGTGTCCATGAACGCTGCCATCAGTGCCTGTGAGAAGGGAGGCGGGGCGGTCCTTGGTCATTTCAGAGTGCTGAATTTTCACCCCACATGAATCAACCCCAGTTTAAAAGTAAGGGGTGTCCGATTCGGGGTTTTGTGGGGAATCAGACCACTTTTGGACCCCCCCCCCCCCAACCCCCCCCACCCCCCCACCCCCCACCCCCCCAACTGCTTGAGGTCTGAATTCGGACAGGTCCCCCAGCTAGGTGCCCGACCTCTCACCCCTTTTTTGGGGTTTTGGGTTCCCTTACTTGATTCCAATACTAAGCTAGGTCCCAGTAGTGCCAACTTTTACAATTTCTTGCGGGAGGGTCCCCTACTAAAATAGACTACACAAAAAAGTTGGTACCAACTTATTCTAACCTCTCTTCTGGAGGACCTAGTCGGAAAGTTACAACATTTGGGGGTCGCATGCCTTCGCAAGGTCCAAGGCCTTAGGCACGCGACAGTCCCAAGACCAGCGCGGCGGTGTGACCTCTTGCGTTTCGGAGTCGGTGCACAAAGACTCTAAGACCCTGCTGCCGTCAATGCTGCCCTCATAGACCCTTCATAGCCCTGGCCTAAAGTCAAAGACTGCTTTTGGCACGCGCTGAGAGAGAAACGCGAGCTGCCAAACGCAAGCGCGACTTGTATCTGTGAGGGCACTTACCTGCCAATCCCAACCCCTTTCGTCGGCGCTGAGGCCAGTGAGCGAGTGAGCGCGAGCTGCGCGAATCGGCGTCGACGGAGAATTCCGGTGGTTTGTGATTGTACCTTTCAACCCTCAACTCCAGGGTTGTGGAATCAAGGGGTTTATTCAACCACTTCTGTGATACAAGGGAATCTCCCCCCTTTATATGGGGTGTTAGTCTTTGGGAAGCCCTTTTCGTTGTATCACAGAAGTGGTCATTTCCCACAACCCTGCTCAACTCTTTCGCTAATTGTTTTCTTCCATGAGCCAAAGGTCCAGCTTTCCGAGGCGATAGTGCAGAGAAACAGGATATCCAGACACCAGCCTATAGGGGGAGTGCTTGAGGTATGCACCTCCACGCGGATCATTCGTTATGCCTATTTGGCAATCCCTTCCCCCTAATAAACGCGAACCTAATAAACGCGGGCCCCCGGGTCGACCGGGTTTCCTCTTCGGTCCTCGTCCAAATGGGCCCAGCCCCTTCCCGGACACGCAAAACCCAAAAATCGCACTTGTCCGAGTAACGAATTTGAATAAAACCGTTCAAAGTTGTTGTGTTTTTCCTGTTTTTGGGGTTCAACAGTAAAGGGCGAGAAAGAAATGTAAATTAGTAAAAGGGAAGTTATGCATTTAGAATTTGGTGTTGGGTTGGTGCAAGGAGCCCCCTAATGAGGCTGGTCTGGGCAGAGACACCGGACAGTTTAGTATTGGTTTTGAACTCGGCTATACTAAAAGTATTAAAATGAGGAACGGATTAGCGCATTGTTGGAACTTTATATCACTTTTTGATTGACGCTTTGTAGGGGTCTCTTAAAAAAAGAGAGAGAAAACACGACCCACATGTTCGATGGTTTGTGATAAAGTTTCAAAGGCATGGGTAATCAGTTCCATTCGATCCCGGTGAAGGCGTGTGGGAGGTTGCCTTGGAGCTACTGCGCGGCATGCCGCGGCAGGCAGGATATGGAGGGCTCTGAGCATTTTCAATTGGCAACCACACATGACACGGGGCTTGGCCCAGCCGTGGGAAGGGGTGCCTGGCCTTTGGTGGATAAGTTAAATTACTCTTGCAAGGTTGGGCTTCTTTCCAAGTGCTTCCAGGCAAACTAGGTATGGCTATATCTAGGTTTTACTGGGTTGCGGATTCCTGGTTTGGATGCTGGGCATCTTCCTTCCAATTTCAGCTTCCAGCTACCACTTTTGCACGCAACCAGGAATCCTAACCTTTAGGTTTTACATCATGGTTTCCCTTAGCTATAGTGGAGCACTGGGTTTGGCCGATCGCGTGAGTTCAGAACGACGTCACAAGTCCACCCCAAAGTCAAGAAAGAGCTGCAAGGGGACTCTTGCAACCCAATGTTCCACGACCGCAACCCGGAGCCCAAGTGCATCCTGAAAATCGGGAGCTGCGTTTTGTGCCACAAGAGAACTCTTGCAAGGGGGTTCTTTTGTATACATGTAAAGGCTTAGTTCGGCTTGCCTGCCTGGGATCCACTGGGATCCAGAAAGCCAACCCCAAGCAAATCAAAGTCAAAGAGCAAACCAGCACCAAAAAGCACATACACACACACAAGAAACAAAGAGAGGGGAGAAAAAAAAAAAATAATAAAACAAACACGCCCCCCCTCCCCAAAGACAACCCAAAGCACACCAAACAAATAAAGCAACCAACACAACAAACAAGTGAAACAGGCCAAATAATCCGTCAGGTCTTTCTGGTCAGGTTTGCTTTATTCACGGACTCCTTTGGCTGCAGGCCCTGGAGCCGGAGCTTCAGAGCTTCAACAGCGCCATGAGCGCGGCTGCCCGCGGCCGCAGATGGGAGGAGCGCCTGGCTGCAGGGGAATGAGAACTGGGGCCCGGAGAAACAAAAACCATCCCCGATTTGGTGTCCTTTGAGGGAAACCCTAGATTTGGCTTCTTTTGAGGGCATCGCGAGGTTCATGAACCAGGAAAACAAATCCCTGAGTTGGCTTCCTTTGAGGGCATCGTTCATTCCCAACACCCGGACTAGGTTGTTCCCTACTGAAAAGTCAGCAAGAAACAGGCGGGGTGCACAAAACTGGGGTGTGCCGGTTTTGGGCGGCTGCTCGCTTTGGGGTTAGGGAAACGCGGGGGAATCGTGGGATCGATGGGCTTTTGGGACTCGGAGTCTTGGTGACAAATTCTGGTAGGATGGGTGGACTCACGCCCCAATTGCTCCACCAGGCGGGGTTTCAGGTTTAGGGGCTGGCGAAAAAATCCGGTAAGCTGAGCTGTGCTTTACATTGCTCCAGGCGTTGGCCCCTTCTGTCCCGGGTTTTTGGTGACCCGTTCGGCCGTTCACCAATTTGGGGCTCGGTCTGCGCAGGTGGCACTGGCTCTCCTCCAGTCCCTCCCAGGACCTTGGGTCGCAAGGATACGAGTGGGGCTTTCAAAGGAAAGTGGCCTGGGCAATAGGGAGGGAGGGAGGGAGGGAGGGAGCATTACAAATGAAAGACAGACAGAGACCAAGACAGAGAAAGAGAAAGAGAGAGAAAGGTCTTGCATTTGAGAAGGCTTGTGTGAAGTCCATACTGGTGGCCTCCAAGAGTAGGGGCGTCAGAAGTCACGTCTTTTCGAGCACCACCCAAGGAAAATTGGAGCCGGAGATTGTGGCGAACTGCCGTGTCGCCTTTTTTATGGCGAGCTCATCTCCATAAACAAAATGTTAAAACCGAGCTCACCTGGGGGAAGAACGAGCTCACCATGACAAAGGGATCCCTTAATTCAGTTTCGGAGCCGTGGCGAAAAACAAAGGCGGACTCCTTTGATCAACTCGGTGGTTCGGGTCCAAAGGGAGTGCACTCACCTATGCTGAAGTGGGAAGCGTCTGAAGGCCAGAGGCCTGGCACCGTTCAGCTTCAAGCTCGGGATGTTCGGTTGGTTAGAGCATGTGTTCATGTATTCCGGTTGATAGTGGTTGCAATGAGTCTCCTCACTCCCCGAGTTCCTGGACTTCAAGAAATGTAAAGACCACTTTAGAAGCACAGTCGAGCGGTTTGACAGTTGGAGCCTCGGAGCCAAATCCCTCAGGAAGTTCTGCGTGCGAAATCCGAATTGAGGAAACTCCCAGCCGGATGTGGTGACCTTGGGTGCTGCAGTCACCGCCTGCGAGGCCCGGCACTGGGCACATGAAACTGGAAACGGCAGCAGATTGCGTTCGCTTTGGCTGTCCACCAATTCCACCGTGGAGCCCTTCAGAAAATATTGGTTCGGATGTTGGCTGGTGAAGAAGGGCCCCTCCCTTTTTTCTGCAAATAGCTGTGGGCTCAGCCCCCCTCCTTCCCTGCCCACCAACATGTGTCCTCTTGGTTCTTATGCATCTTTGGTGGTTGTTTTTGGTTGCCTACAAAACCAGGGAAATGAAATCACCGGGCCAAGGAACCTCACAGCTTCCCCCCAAAGGCTTGCCTTCGCAGGCAGCTTCGCGCTGGGACTGGGCCTTGGGCTTCTTGAGTGAGGCCAAGGCCTAGGGCTCGAAACCGCGCGTCGGGCGTTGGGCCGCTGCTTTGCTTCGACTTCCTTTGGGTTTTATTTTGAGGGGCTCCTTTCCTTTGGTTGGAGTTGCTTTGGGCTTGCTTCAGGTTGTGTTGGTGGCTCAGTCGATGGCTTGCGCTGAGGGTCATTTTGTGTCTTTCTCCTCCGCGGTCTCGTATTTCCGGTTGTTCGTTATTGTTGCGCATGAATGAGCAAACCAACGCATGTTTTTGAAACATCAAGCGCAACACGCATGACTTACATGGTGAAATGTTGGTTGTTGGATTGCGAAAGGGCTGTACACTTGCTGGTGCTCAGCAGGGAATCAGTTGGAATGACCCCAGGAAAAACCATCCCTTTGGTTTCCTTTAAAGGAGTCCTCAAAACCGGTTCATTCCCAAAACCCAGACTCGATCATTTCCTACCTATCGCACAAGCAAGTACAATGTGTATTTTACAATTTCTCTAAAAGCAACTAAGTTCACACAATTGAATATGTATATATGAATATATCTATATACGGTACTATATTCAACTCTTGGACAAGTTTGTTTGCTTTCCCATCAGGGGAAGCATTTCGGCCGCCAAAAGCACATGGATGACGTGTCCGGCCAGGCAAGTGCGTGTGCAAGCGACATCGTGTTCAATGCGGCGATTAGCGCCTGCGCAAAAGGCCCCGGGGAACATGGGCGTGTTGTCTCCTGCGTTCTCGCGGAGGTCGAGCTCGGGCCCTGAAGGCTCTTACTGGTTGCTTCCCTTAAAGCATCCAGCTCGTGAATTACTCTCTCTTGCACATCTGTTGACTTCAAGCCTTGTGCAAGTGGACGAGGCACAGGTTGTTCATTGCATTTTGACGGAAGTCTTGACATTACTGGATTTGGTTCGCGAACCGCGGCAGGCCTCGGCCTTGAGAGAGTGCGAGTGAATGGGTGTGGCTTGCTTTGAGTCTTGAGGGCCCATGTTTGCGCTTTGAAATGGACCCCAACAGGAACACCGCCATTTGAGTCGGGCCCCCCCCAAAAAAGACCACAAGATACATAGCAATGATTCTCCCGGCCGGTGTTTGAATTTCGCCTTCTCGACAGGCGGACAGTGGCAGTGGGCCATTGAGATCCTGTTTGAGATGTCCCAGTCGATGCAGGCTGGGGCCGCAGACGCGTTTTGATCACTCAGATCTATCGGTTTTTGCACTTATGCCATTTTTAGAGCTTTCAGGCAAGCCACTACAGGTAATCAGGGATCCTTACCTTTAGATTTTACATCATGGTTTCCGCTGGTTACTATAATGATAACTGGGAGCACGACTAGCACTGCCGCGTGACTTAGTTGCACTCCAGCTTGAAACATCACCTTTTCCGCAACACCAAGAGAGTTTCCTATAGGTGGGGTGGTGTTTGCAGGAAACATATATTGAGCCCTGTGATTCAAGCATGCTTCAAATACAAATTACAAACCCCTCCCTCGCCTTTGCGTCGAATGACCGCGCGTGTTTGTTTGCTGGAGTGAAGCTTCCAGGAGACATAAGCTGGTGGCGGTGCGCCAGTTGGTTTCACACTTGCCCCCTTGCTCACCTTGGCGTTCGCTTGCGCGTCTTGAGCTAGACTCTCATCTGCCTCGGTTTCCAAGGCGAGGTGGGGAGAACTCTTCGCGCAAAATCGGTGCCGAAAGCTTGGAAGTGGGTTGCGCCAGAAGGCTATGAGTGACCTCCTGAAAAATAGAATTGGGGAGGGGGCCAACTTCTGGAGATCTCCATTTATGGCAACCCATCTTCCCTTTGAAACCCCCACCCCCCCCTTAAGGTAGGGACCATTTGGCAGTCTCTGTTTCGATTGTGTCGCGCGAGCCAGGCGACGCTGATCAGCTTCAACTCGGCCATGAGCCACGCGACTTCAAAAGCAGAAGCAAGCAGCGGGCATGGGATATCCATCGCGACAATAGATGCTGTGAAGTTGGGTAGGGGGATGTTACCTCGGATTGGCGCGTTTTCACGTTGGAAAGGGAAGGGCACTGCGAAGAATGGAGGAATGCAAGCCCATGGGGGTCTAGGTGGGGAATTTCAAGCGGTTGCCTCAAGCAAAGTGCAGGTTTTTGGATCTTGGTTGGAATGTATCTTTGCGGCGGGTTTTGCGAGAGATGAGGCGCTTGTGCCAACAGTGGCCGATGGGAAGCAGCATTGGCCTTGCTGGCACTTAGGCTGCATTTCATCCGAGTTGAAGGAGTTTTTGGGAAGGTATCCCGGCATGAGTCGGGATATGGCTGTGGGTCAATACCAATGGGATCCCATTTTGGGGTAGGTGCACCACCGATTTTAGCACCTATTTTTGTGGGGATTGGGATGTTCGCTGGGGTACGGGATTTTGACCCATGGCCATATGTTGGGATACTTGGAAATGCTGTGGCCGGCAGCACGTTTCACAAGGTCCATGCTTTGCTCAATGAAGCTGGACAACTGGTGAATGCCAACCGAAGTCCAACCAAGCACCTTTGGGTTCACGGGAATTCTACTTAGATGTTCGGTTAGCCACTGGGGTTATAGCCCCTAACAAGGTTGCCCCACCTTGGGACTTCTGCGTGGCTACGAATCGAACGCGTAAGTATACTTCAGGGGCCCCTTTCGGTGAGCTGTTGCGGTGACCGTTTTAAGGGGAAGTCAATCGGCCCGGCCGGCCCCCAGCTTTTTTGATGGGGAGCACTTTTCCCAGGTTGAAATCTCATTCGTTTCGCGGTTTTCCAACCAATGGGTCAGAGTGCAGGAGCAAGCAGAGAAGGCCTCGTCGATTGACGCCTTCAGTCTCAGTGCTGCAGTACTCGCCTGCGCCAAAGGCGCTTTTGGGGGGGTGCCGAGGCTCCAACGCTGGCCGGTTCTAGTTTGCGTTTCTTGGTTTTAAAGCTGTTCCATCGGCTTTACATGTTTTACCTCTCACTCCGAGAGTTCCTGGGCTTGGGGCTTTTTGGGTTTGGACCAGAATAGTGGTAAAACAAGAAACACCGTAAGCTCAGACTTTTTCTGACCAATCCACTCGGGAAGTGAGTACTCATAGTGGGTCGCCCAAGCCTTTTTCAACATCCCTGTGAAAGCGTCAGGTAGAGCAAACATAAATGGTGTCACCGTGAGGGCCCGGGGCCGTTGGCTCCGAATTCTGGTAGGCGCGTACGGGAGACTTTTCGCACAAAGACGTAACCGCTTTCTGCGGTTTGGTTGTTTCTCGGCCATGCTCACGTACCCCCCAGTGATATTCCATTTTCCTGCCAACAGGAACCTGGCTAGTCACCTATAGACTATGGTAGGTAACAGCAGCCGGGAGTCCCGAAGCTTGTCAAAGAGCCACGACAGAACCCATGGACCTTTTGATCGAGCTCGGCTTCTCCGCATGTCTTTTGAAGGCTTCGTTGAACACTGGATTCCACCACCTTCCTCAGGTTGCACCGAACCTGATCTCATTTTTCCCCCATTTCGGGACACCGTGGGTGTGGCTCAAAATGAAAGAGCTGGGGTTGCGCAGGTGTTCGTCTTCGGTCCATTTGCCAAGGTGTAATTCTGGTACCCCTTTTTTGAGCCACAGCCACGTGCTCAACTGACCCAACTCGGTCGACCCGGCAGCGTCGTTCCCGCGAAGGCCAGCGTTGGGCGGAGGCGCTTTGGCTCACCGGCTCCGATCTCGTGCGCCCCGGCGGAATTTCTTTCGCCGCATGGCCCAGGTGTTTGGGCGGAAGCTTTTTCACAGTTGCAACCCGTGGGTTGCTCCCTTTTTTTTGTTGACTTTTGTCCGTTTTTTTGGGGGGAGGGTGGTTGCTCCTTTTTTGCTTGTCAACCATTTTTGGGGGAAGGGTTCTGATTTCCTTTAAAGTGAACCAACCAACAAAGGGATGCCGATCGTTTTTTCTCATGGCATCTGAGTTTTGCAAGGCTGAAGTTGGGACCAGACAGAGACAAGGGAAAGGAAAGTGGTCACACTTTAGTGGCCCCAAAAGGTTAGCCTTTGGTCCGTCGGACGGGAAGTGTCTTAAGATTTGGCCTCTTGGCTGTCAGCGTCGGCACCTGCGGGTTGTTTCCATCCAACCTGGAGGCCTTGGTAGATATACATCGTTGTTGTTGGGAAACATTTTGCATTTTTGCTTATTGTGGTTTAGTGGGAAATCCAACCACTTAACTGCTAAAATTGAATTTGTTGCTCCCCTTCCAACGTCAACCGAGTATAAACGGGGCCAGTACTAAGCTCAAGGAATTGTCCCGGAGCTCGAAAGGTTTGGTTTGGCCAAGTTTGGGACGCCTTTGCAGTTGGATTTGTTTCCCGGACCCCGTCCTTAGATTGATATATGCTGCGTAGTCCAAATAAGCTCAGAATTTGCTCTCGTCTCTCAAGCTAACTCGTCTCGGAGAGGATGTGAGCCATGGGTACGGTTGCAAGCTCGTTTTTCAATAGTTGGGGGCCTCTTTTTGGATGGGTGTTAATTGGTTGCCCCGGATAAAAACAAGAACCCCCCTAATAAATTGTTCCTCCATATATGCCCAATACGGTTGTACAGGTTGTGCGACTCTGTGTTTTGGCAGTAAAAGTCCGCTCCGCAGCGGACCTAGAGCTGAATAAGTGACTGGGGTCGACCGGATTTCGGACTTCCTCTTCGGTCCTTGTCCAAATCCCCCCCTTCTCGGACACGAAAGCCCCAAAACCGCAATTTTCCGAGCAATGAATTTAGATAAAGACGTTCAAGGTGTTTCTTTTTCTCCTCGCTAGTGCGGTTCAAAAGTAAAGGCGCAGTTTAAACTGTTAGAATTACAATTTTGAGAAATAAACGTAAATGAGTAACATGTAAATATGCATTTAGAATTTGGTATTGGGTTGGTGCAAGGAGCCCCCTAACAGGGCTGGGGCTGGTCTGGGCGGAGACATCGGACAGTTTAGTATTGGTGTTGAATTCTGAATTGGGCTATTCTACAAGTAGTACTGGGACCCGGATGTTTCAGCCAGTCTGGAAAAATCATATGTATTAATAGGGTCCATTCATCAGAAGGGGGAACGATTAGGAAAACCACCGTATACATTTTTGAGAAACCAAATGCTTCGGGTTTCTGACAATCATCGTCATGGAATGTTTCAAGTTTACTTCCTAGGCTCCAGGAAACTTGGCCCGTTCAGAGCAGAGAAGAGGCAGACATAGCGATTGTGGCTTGGTCATGTGGGGATTCCGTTTAGTTGCTATGCGTGTCGTGCGTTGTCACTTGTTGTGTAAGAAGGATAGGTGGCTCAAAATTGAGAGTGCCCTTGAATTGATTGTTCTAGAACAATTTCTTTGGGTTTCACAACCTTTTGCGGTACAGCAGTGCCCCTGCAAACTTTGCGTGTCGTCGGCACCCCCGGCCTGGCTGAGCTTTCTGGTCGCTTCTGGATTTCAGCCCCCGAGTCCCTTCAAAGGCTCCCGAAGTTTGAGACATAGCCGCATTTAATGATTCAACTGGACCTTGGGAACCAAGAATCATGTAACCCAGTGGTGTACCCATGGTCATGGCTTAAAGTTTTAGAGCACCCCAAGCTCCATGTACCTAGTCCCCCGTTCAAGCCCTGGCTAGGGGGATGAGGGATCATGATTTCCCATTTTGACTTGCAGTTTTAGAGTACCCCAAGCCCCCATTCTATTCATTTACCCCCAGTACTGAAGCAGACTTCCGAGGGACATGGCCAGCTTCGGTGCTGCGTGCAGCTGCCTCGAGCTCGCCGCCGCCTCGCCGCTGCCGCTGCTGGCGCGGGTGCAGCACGAAGCGCTGCGGAAGCTCCGCTGAGCGGAAAACGGGGCGCCAGGAGCGTGGGGACCTCGCAAGGGGGGCGCCAACTTTCAGGCAGAGGAGAGTCCCGAAGATTTCACTTCGCTCTGTTGATTTGAGTAGAAAGAAATCCAAACTTGATGGTTCCTAGCCAGCCGGTTCAACTGAGGTGTTTCGCGTTTTTTAGTTAGTTTCGCGGTTGGGTTTCCGAATTTTCACCCACAAGTTGACAGCTTTTAGCAGGGGATCAGAAAACGGACAGCGCAGTAAGGATGGGTTTCTGTGTGGGCTTCTTAAAATAGTGGTTCCCTAAAATAGTATCCTTCTTGGTTGTGAAGGGTGTCTGTTATGTTGAGAAACGACCAGGTTGGGCCTCCAACAGTTGTCCAATGCTGAGGTGTCTGATGTTCTGGACTTTTAAAGGTTGGGCTGCATGTAAGCATGACCACTGGCTTAGGCTAAACTGCAAAATGGGGGCCCAGGGGTGATCATTGGAGTTTAAATGCACAATTCATATCGATTAATAAGTACATGCATAAGTATGTATGCATACACACGCACACACGCACATATTTATACATATATATATATATATTTATCTATGCACATACGTATGTGTATATGTATATGTGTAGTTGTTGACCAGATAAATGGACCTGGTTGGCATCCCCAAGGCAGTTGCCCTCCCCAGTGCTTCCAGCAGCTCCGCTTCAAGAGAGGTCCTTCCTCGCAGCTTCCTTCCCTTGGTCAAGTCAGCCTCTTCGTTCCGAACTGTCAACCGGCATGCCTACGGATCCAAGTCTTGAGTGCAGGAGGTGATTCTTTGCAATTTGTGGAAGCTGTTGTTGAGGATTCCTGGTTCGGATGCTGGGCATTTTCCTTCCAAATTCAGTCCCAAGAGGATTCCGCAACATAGCTACCACTATAGTAGGGAAGCAGGGATCCGTACCTTCAGGTTTTGCATCATGGTGCCTCCTGGTTGCCGACTATAGTGGTACCTGGAAGCACTGGGTTTGGTTTTGTTCCACGACAATTTTTAGGGGCTTCGAAAGTTGGACGCTTTGCTGGGTCAGCCACGCCAGGTCCATCGAAACAAGCAAAGCCAGAGCGAGAGCGCATTGCTCGAACCCGTGCGGAAACCCAGCGATAGCATATGTGTCAAAGCGGGACTGGTTCCTTTTGAATGCTTTCCAAAGGATTGATAAAGTCAGGGAGAACCGTAGGCCAGCATAAAACCGGGGTCTCTCGCCGAGTTGCTGAGTGCCATGATTCTATAGATTTGGTTGCTGTTTGTGTGTCTTAGCCATTTGAGGGTTGATTCTTTGTTTGTTTCACTAGCCGCTCGTTGCGCAACAATATTGCCTGTGGATCATGTGGGATCCCAACTGAGGGATGATCAGTTGGTGCTCTTGTGACATCGTGTGTTTGCAGCTGCAACAATGAAGCAGCCGTCAGAGGCTCCGACCCGATGACCACGTATTGAGAGTTACCCCCCGACGATTCCATGAAAGTGCGCAGACCCCTGCGGAAAGACTACTTTCCTTTTGGAAAGGGGTCTGTGCACTTCCATGTTAGTTGGTGAGAGAGTTCCAAGAGCATCTCGGTTTGTTATAAATTCATGGGTTTGTCACGTGTGAGGTCATTCACGGGAAACCAAAGGGAAACCAAAGCTCTTTTTTGGGGGGCTGGCTCCCACGTTGCTGAGGGTACATCTCGCAATGCCTCAGTTGCGGATTGTTGGATCCGAGGCTCATCCCTTTCGACATCTGACTCACCTGTGTCTTCTGACCAAGGCCTGAGATCGCACAGGGCTGCCACAGGGCAACACCATGGAAACCAATTCTCGGAAGGTGTCTGTGTGTGTGTGTGTTTAGCTTGGAAATACTTCTTACTGTTTCGAGACTTACATCATAGAGCTTTGCCTTACAGCGTGTTGATGCAGAAGCCAGATTGCTTTCTGCTGCGGGGTGCCGAGATAATTCAGGTTAATGTCAAATTGGTTTCTGTTTCAACAGCTCACCCAATCCTTCCGCACGAACCATGAACTGCCTTGACTTACTTTTTTTTTGAGCGGCAATACGTTGCTCTGAGCAGTTTGGGCCACACCATTGCATGGCTGCAGCTACCCCCAGACCAGTTTGGCTCGTGTTTGTGCCACTGTTGACCGCTGGTTCCGCAAAACTCCATTGTCACCTTGGTTTGTCTTTTTGCTAAATCCATTCCTGTGCATGGAATGGAAGATTGCAGTGGTGCCTGATTGGTAGGTAATGTGTTGGTATATATATATATATCTATATACAGATACCATCTCATGGATGAAAAGAGGCGCTGCCTACCATGGGGTACCCCTTAACAAAAAATATTCGGGGGGACCACGTCACCCCTTGGAAGAATTTGATTGGAATAATTTGACTGGTTTTGGGGGGGGTGGTCTTGGGGTCCCCCCTTGATGGTGGTTTGAAAACAATTTGACAACCCGATGACCCCCGGAGTATTTGTTCATAGGTTTTGAAGTTGAAAGGTGTTTCAGGGGTGGCTGTACCCTGGAATATTTTATGTTGATGGCCGATGATGGCCGTACTCAAATGGATTGAGGACACTTGTGATCATTTGGTTTGAACTAGACTAACTAGACATGGTTTGGAACTAGACCCATACTGTAGAAGTGTTAGACTCCGTTGAAAGCTTTTCTAAAGATTCTAAAGTTCTTATGTGTCTTTGTGTTGCCGAGGCCTGCCGGTAAAGCAACATCAACGCACCATTTATATTCAACAGGAATCACTAGATTTCAATGGGCAGTAATCTGTCGCAACCCGAATTGGACGGGGTCCGGGGTCCCTGCTTGAGGTGGCGGGAACTCTGGTTGCATGAAGCGGAAAAAAGTCGAGACAAAACAGTAGGTTCCGAGTTGGCATTCAATCCGCTAACCCAACCACGGTCAGAATATTTGTGGCACATGGTGGTCAGGATGCCCAGGAATAATAAAATAATTATTCCAGAGAAACCACGAAAACCATGCAAACAATTCTTCCGGGAACCCAGCTACGGTCAGAATAATTTATGCCCATGGTGGTCAGGACCACAAGGAACAAAAACACAATTATTCCAGGGGTGGACCAACGTGGTCCCCCCGTTTAGCGGTGGCCCATTGCATACCAGCTTCTCAGAAGCAAGATTGAAAAATGTGTATATATATATATATATATATATATTTATAGATATACCCCCCCCCCCCCCCCCACCCCCCCACCAAACCCCCCCCCCCCCCCACCCGACGGAAATGCGAGCACGGGCGCTGGTCGGCCAGACTCACCGAGCTCGGAGAAGGCAAGGCCAAGCCACCCGCTCCTCGATGCGAAGGGGAGCTCGATCCCAGTCGATGTGTTTTTTTGCACCCCCTGTGTCATGTTGATCGGTAAGGAATGGCATTGGATAGAGTTTTCATAGCTGTGTTTTTTGATCGGTGATTTTGGCTTGGGAAATAGATGGGTTCCACTGGTTTAGGTGGTGTCATGTTGATCGGTATTTTTTGACATTGGAAATAGATGGGTTCCACTGGTTTAGGTGGGCTTCATTCCATTAAGGGAAACCCATCTACTTTCCCATTTGGGACACCTTTGGACTTGCACCCCCAGTGGTTCAAGTCCAGCCACTATGTCGCTATGTTTCTGTTAGAGAAGGCTCAGTGCTTTCATTTTTTTGGGGTAGAGAACCAGGGGAAGCCGCGATGTAAAACGTAGAGGCAGCCATAACTGGTTACCTATAGTGGTACTGGAAGCATGGGATAAGATACATTGATAGATAGGCTGTATACGGGGTGTTCCCATTTCCCCGTTGAAACATCTTTGGGATGACCCAAGGAAGCCACCAAAGAAACCCCCAGAGACGCACCGGAAGAATTGCCCAAAGCAGCCGACCCGATCTCACGGACTGGTTTCCGCTTAGGCCTGAAGAAGGCAGCAAGTATTTCCCTCGTCCAGCGAATTGAGTCGCCCTTGTTGGTCGCCTGTCTGTTTTGGCGAGTTGCTTTTTCTGTCCATTGGCCACTCGGCAAGCAAGTTGCCAAGCAAAGCACAACGCTTTGCCTTTGAGTCTTTCTGAATGCCAAATATTGTTATCTAGTTGGCGTTCTGTACTGTTCAGTATTATTTTCATTCTCTCCTTTAATCGACTGCCCGTTGCTTGCCTGTTGAATTCCAACCAGCCTTGGCGTTTCAACTCAAGATGAAGTTGACAAGGTGTTTTTTTGCGGGCGGCCTGATATTGATTGGATTGGAGTGGTTCATGCCTTCCTATCCTCTAGATCCAAAAAAAATGAAAGAAATAGCACTGCCGTATTGTGAGCTGGCCTTTGGGAAAAGGGGCCTTCTGGACGACGACTTGCCCTTGTTAGAAAGAAAGCAACTTGCTTGTTGGTTGTGTGTTCGGCCTGTGTCAGCGCATTGTCAATGCGCGTCGTATCAATCCACGCTTGTTTAGCCAGCTCATGGTCACGCACATGCCTATTGAACAGTTGAAAGAACCTGACAATTATTACTTTCCATGTGGGCTTATCGTGGCTTCGCCTGAGCACTCACATGAAACCTGAAAGAGCGGTCCTGAAGAAGATTTGGGGGGGGAGGCGGTTGGTTGCTAGCTTGCGTGTTAGGTTTGAGGGGGAAGCTAACGTTATTTTTAGCTTCCTGCCACGTTCTTCTTTTTTCGCCTAGGCCGAGGGGCGTTGGGGACACAGCTGTCCCTTCCGGAGATGCAGGTTCATACAATGAACGGTTTCGCCGCTTGGCAGAGATTACGAGGCACGTTCTGGCCGGCCGGCCGCCTGGAGAACTGGGAATCTGCTCCTCTGCATCTTGCAGATAGATTGATTAAACCCTTTGTGTCCGGGTCGGCTTCGACTTTTCAACTGAGCACTTGTTGGAGCGACGTCAAGTGATTGCCCAATTTGCGCGGGGTCGCATGGCCTTTTCTCGACATAAGAGGTGTCCAAGCACCGCGGCAAAGCCGCGGGGTAACATGAG